TAAGTTTTTTTCAAATTGTGCGAAAAATAAAAAAATTCACGATTCCGGTTACCGCAACCGTTACGCTACTGCCTTTACACCCCGCAACCGCAACCGCAACCGCAACCGCGCTACCGCCACCGTTACAGTGACCGCAACCGCTTTTCAGAACCTTAAACCCAACACACATGTATCACACATTATGCATTGAGTATTAATAATAGGGAGAGAAACTTTGATCAGTTCACTTCTAGTCTTTTCCCAACTATACATATATATATAATCGTATATTTCTATTAATCAAAAAGAGGGCACCATCAGTGCTCCCATGTACCAAAATAATTAGAAATGCAAAACACCAAAATTGAGCTTGGCCAAAATCAGTTCTTCTTTCATTACTCTTCCTTATTTAAACACTATATAACAACTAATCATATAAAGTCAGTTCAAATAAAAGATCAGAAGTCCATTTAGCCATTCAATAATAGAGCACACCAGCAATTTGAAATTAAGTACAAACTATAAACATACCAGCTCTTTTACTAAATGTGCGAAGGACAATTAGATTTTCATGCCTCTTCACCCATTGCATCTTAGATTCAATTCCTGAAAATTCAATGTATGCTTCATCCAGCACAACCAATATAGGCAGATCAAGGATCTTCAATAGAACTTCATCACTGATTATACTGTCAAACAAGAAGAAGACAATACAATAAATCATGTTAGAACCTGAAATGAAGCCTGTTAGAAAACAGCAATATATATATATAAACTTGCCACATTCAAAGGGACAATCTGCATACTCAGTAGTAAAGCAAAACCATGTCATAGTTCTACTAGCAGTTCATAACCTGAAACATCACCTAGTTGGATAACCAAATAAAAAGTCCAATACAATTATGTTGTTTCTCGACTCACACAAGGACAATTCAGTACAAACAATATTTTATAAATAATAATAACTGTCAAGCATAAATAATCACATAACAGCCCAACTCCTTTTCTTTTTAGATCATCATGTCAGACACCTTATATTTGCATCAAATATCAAACATTGATACCTATGTGAACTTCCCCATTGCATGACTCTTGGCAATGGCTGGACATTTTACATTTTTTCCTTAACCCTCAATTATTGAGAACAAAGGACCAAGATGAACTTCTTCGTCCACACACTCTTATTTCACATAGAACAATATTTTGATCACTGATACTGTCACTAGATTTGGCATGTTGCTAGTCATAAGTTCATAATATATATCTTCAAGCCACTTAAAAATTGTGGGCAATTCTTGGATGGAAAGATGACGCATAGCTGAAATCCTGAAATATAGACTACGGTCAAAGCGATATGATTACGAATCAAAGTCAAACAACTATAATGTCTAACACCTGTGCCATTCAGGAGGTGACAAAGAAAGTGAACGTGCAAAAATGGTAACGGTTTGACCAAGTCTAGCAAGTGCAGTACACCTAAAAATGCACCTTAGGACCCTAAAGGTGCGTAATAATAAAATAAATCACATCATGACAATGGATGCAATTAAAAGTTACCTCCCATCAGGATTGTTGGGTGAAGCCAGAAATATGCACTTTGGTTTCTCCTGCTCAACAACTTCAGTAATCAGTTCTACATCCAAGCTAAAATCTGGCTTCCGGGGTACTGCTTAGTTGGATGACACCAAATAAGTTCATGCACACTTGACATTGTCAAATTATGAAAATGATGGCATACAAACATATAAGTGGAAAGGAAGGAAACTCTTCAATCATCGTTAAACATAGGATAAAACAATAAAAAAGCTAGGTGAACAAAGATGAAAGAATGGAAACAAAAGAGTTTATGCTTAATGTTTACCTTTGATAACAAGTGCCCCATTAACAGCTGCATCAAATTCATACATTGTAAAGGTTGGAGGGCAGTCCACAATTTTGTCACCGGGATCCAGAACACAACTGAAGCAAGATTAAAAATACAAAAAGCAAAAAAGAACAAAATAAAAATAAATATCAATCAAAGGGGAGGTGGCAAAAAAGTTATAGTCTCATTGTGCAAATTACGAAGTTAAAGCAGAAAATATGAAATTACGGTAATCACGAGATCTTCTATCACTGACCGCATAATCAAATCAATGAGTTCATCTGCACCACACCCTGCAAGAATATATTCAGATTCAAGACCCGAATCCTGGGCAAGAGCAGCACGCAATCTACGGCTTTCAGGATCAGGATAAACATAAGGGAATTTCAGTGACCCCAAAGCCTCAAAAACCTAACCAAAATTTGAAATTTGTAACCAGGACAAAAACAAATTGTAAAACATCAAAATTTCCAGCAATTGCAAGGAAGGGGTTTTAAAGTTAAAAAGTCCAAATGACATCTTTGATAGAACTGGTGATTATATTCAGAAAAGTTAATATAGTATATGACTTGCCTCTGGAGGTGGACCATATGGGTTTTCATTTGCATCTAGTTTGACAATATCCTCAGGCTTTCTACCTAGACGAGTTGACAATACCTGTCTCAAAAACCCGTAACTCGCAAATTAAAGAGAATAAAAATATATGCTTATTATTTCAAGTAGCTAGTAATGGAATATAACTAACTAACAACCAAACAACTCACTCAAATAAAACATAAACCATCCAGAAGAAACTTAAAGCATTATCATAATAAGGATGAATCAAACACATCACCAGACAACCAACTTCTCAGAATAAGCAAGCAGAAATTCTTAAATGCATCAGAACTAGTTTCACGAAATTTGATAAAACTCGCAGTAGCAACCCGGGCCATTCAATCGAAAACAAGACATCAACTAACATTCTGACATATTCAAGTGGGGATAAATTGAGGTTTATGTGTTGTGTTCAATTTTAAAGTGGCATGTAGTTCACTCAACCTAAATTTGAATAATTCATAGGAAACTTAACCAATATCACAAAATTAATAAGAAAAAACGAAAGGTCTGCCTAAAGGGTTGTTAGGTAAAACCATTGGTACCCCCATCAAGTGCTCAAGTTTAACTTTAAATGGGCCTTTGTATTAAATACAACATATAACACACAAGCATCTACCATTTAAAACTGAAAATTCACTTAAATGTCTAAATTTTAAGTTAGAGAGGGACTTGAATTATCACTAAATGTTGAAAAATCTTAGTGGAATGTGGCTTTCACTATTTAATCATAATGGGAGAGTTCTTCCTTTAGTTTTAATTTTTAGCACAAGTGATTGAGCACCAAGTTTTATCAAATAGAGCCTAGCAAATATAACAAAATTGAACAAATGAGCTAATAATAAATTTGATCCATTTGATTAGTAGAAGAAAATTGTACAGTTAAACCATTAGTTAATATGGTTAACTATTCGCAAGAGGCCAATTAATGGAGGTTTGAACTAATATCACGAGCACTACAGTAGTAGCCCTAGCACATTCAACCAAAACCAAAAGAAAAAAAAAACAAAAACTCTTTATTGTTATTCTAAGAACCAACAATTGCATAGCCGCGAGAAATTCTCAAATGAAGTAAGTTGTACACCCATCAGAATAAGTGAAGAAGAAATTTGAAAAATAAGTACTAATATGTAGGGGAGAACAAACGTCGAGCCAGGCCCGGCCCACCCAGCACTACATAATAAGGGGTTTTGTGTTTGCCCAAGTCCTTCGCTAACATTAGGCCTCTATATTTGTCCAAGCCCGGTCCAAAAAATAATTATAAATCCCAAGCCCACCCATCGGGCTATATGTTAAAAAAAATAAATCATTTCATAATTAAATTCAATCACACATTATATTTCTTAAATAAATATATTGACATCATTATAAATTGAAAAATTTTGTGTATAAATTGAACAATTGCTTAAATAAATTTAATTACATATCACCACAAATGTAAGTTCCAATAAAATCAACAAAGATTAAGTCTAGATCGCGACAAAAAATATATATTTTAAAGTATTATAAACAAGGTTTTAAAAAGCGGCCGCAACCGTTACGTAACGGTTTTGGTGGTTACCGCCACCCGTTACGGTCGCTTTTGCAGTGTGATTGAGATTCACAAGTGTGTCGGTCGTAGCGGCTGCGGTAGCGGTCGTAACGGTGCAGTAACAGCCGTAACGGCCTATTACGCACCGTTATGTAACGGTTTCAAACTGTTTCTTTCGAAAAAACACACAAAAAAAAGTTGAAAATGGGGAAAGAGAGATAGAGAGAAGAGGGAAGATAAAGAGAGAAAATGGAGGAGCAAGAGATATAGAGAGAGAGAGAAGAGGGAAGATGAAGAACATGTTATTGATGCATTGAAGCTGTAAGACCTATGCTATTCTATTCCGTTGCCATCACTCAACCATTTTGTTATATATTGTTTGAAAATAATAATAATAATAGTAAGTGTGATCATTATCTATTTGGCTTGATTAAATTATATATATATATTTAGGCTCTTTATTTATTCTCTTACTTTTGTCATTGTTTATTTTATATATAATAGTTAGTGATTGATTTTTTGGATAATGTAAAATTAATAAAAATTAAATGATTAATTTTTTTAAATTAATTTACATGATCATCATCCAAACACATAATAAAAATTAATTTGGTAAAAAAAATAAATAAATGTTTAAAAGATTTATCAATTTTACATAATTTTATTTTTAGTGGATAGAAATAATTTTTAAAAAATCAACAATATTTGTTTGACATTTATTTTTGTCAAATTAGTTTATTTTTTTATCAAATTGACAATTTTACCCTTGAAAAATCTAATGATATCTTCAATTGTCCTTATTTAGAACAAGATTCAAAATTCAGGGTCAAATGTGTCACAATTGAAAAGTCAGGACCAAAGTGACACAAGCCCCAAACTATAGAGACTATTTGTGTAATTTGCCTTTCATAAAAAAATAAAAAAGTTGTTAAAAAACCTAATCTCAAACCAATCTTAAGTAGTGTACATGACGAGTAATTATTTGGTAATCTTAAAATATTACTCCATACCATTTATTATTTGACATTTGTCAAGTTATTTTTCAAAAACTTAACAAAAAATATTGAACCCTACTATTTTAACCAATGAATATCAATGAAGAGTACTTCATGTATTTGTTTCCGGAGAAAAAAAATAATGAATATATTCATGAAAATGTAAAATCATGAATATATTAATGTTAATTATTGCATTTTAATATGAATTTTGTTAATCTGTACTCTTAAAATACATGGTAAGAAATTTTAAAAAATTATACATTTGGCATGAAAATAAAGTGCAACAAAAATATATAATATTTTTAAGCCCTCTTATCATGTGATATAAAAACTGACACTAAAAAGATTGATTTAATATTATTTATAAATATATAGAAAAAGCTAAATGCAAGGTCATATCATGAAAAATTATTCCATACTTTAGAATAATATTTTTTTTGGTTATTAATTGACATCTTATATATTATTTTTACAATTGTTAAAACAAGTCGGATGAATCTTCTGAATTAAATAATTAATTAATATTATTAACGTTTTGTTCGTTTGAACAAATTTTATTTTAAAAATATATTTTATTTTCTATATTTTTTGAATTTAGTACAATAAAAAATAAAAATTAACAAAAAATATTTTTTATTTTCAAATAATAAAAATATTTTACGAATTAAAATTTAACCAATATTATCATATTATCATCATTACAATCACCTCTATTTGCCCTATTTACCATAACCACGATTATCACCGCCGCCTCCAATCGACCACCATGTCACCGCTTCCACCTCACTTTCAATACTACCACGACAGCCAAACAACCATCTAATGTAAATTTGTCAAAAGAAAGACTCACATGTCCAAAATTCTCCAAATTCGTGTCGTTTGGGATTTTGTTTGGGATTTCAAACCGTGGGTCCCCCAATCGTCAACACTCAACACTAGGTTTAGTAAACGAACACACTGAAAACAATGTGGTTTTTTTTTTTTTTTTTTTTTAAACAGGTGGTGTCTTTCACTTACACCAAAATGTAATTAAAGTTCCGTTTGGCAAGAATTAAACGGGACTTTTTTGATTATTTTAGTTATAAAAGACAAAATAGATTATTTTAGCCACAAAAAACAAAATATCACATTCAACCCATAATCATTACATTCTTCTCTCACAAAAAAAGTTAAAAAAGCCAAAAAGTCCTTCCAAAACCAAACTTTTTAGCCCAGGCTAAAATAGCCAAAAAAGCCAAAAAGCCAACCCACTTCCCAAATGGAGGCTAAGTCTCACAAAAATTTAGTTAAAATTCTTTTATTAATTTTTTATTTGATGAATAAGATAGTTGAATTTAATTTGTTTCATAAACTTTTTAAAGAGGATGTGTATAATTGAGTTAGAATAAAGTAATTTTTTTTTTTGAATAATATTATTAGAATAACATGCTATTGTGAGATAAAATAATATATTACTGTTTATATCAATTATTTATAGTAATAATTTTTTTTAATAGAAATTTCATAATCAACATGGATTAAAAATACTAATTTTATTGAAAATTGATATTTAAATTAAAAATTATATTATTTTAAAATTTAATATTTTGATAATAATGATATGGATTAAATTTTTCAAAAAACAATTTATATTTATTCTTACAACAATGTTTAGTAGCCCGAATTTTCATGATTTGAATGGCTTGAATGTCTTAAAACGACGTTGACATCATTTTAAGGTAAAACAATATTATTTTAATATATTCGAGCCATTTAAATCACACAAATTCAAACTGTTAAACATTTTTTTTATTCTTAATATATTAGAATTTTATGAGTTTGCTCTCCCATAACATAAAACCCTCCATGCACATCTCGCCGACCAGTTGTTATGGACTTTGACACGACCAACAATTGTGCACTCAATACAGCAGGTATTGTTGTGTAATTTTAGGGGTTTATTTTGAAATTCGTTTTGGTAATTTAAATTATTTATATTTTAAAATACATCGAGTATAATATATTTGTAAAAAATTAAATTAATCGAATATCGTTAATTCTTTTATTTATTTTTTTAAAGATACAAATATAAATGGATAAAAGAATTAACGAAATCTGATTAAATTAATTTTTTACATATATATTCTACTCAATATATTTTAAAATATGAATAATTAAAATTATCAGGATCTCAGAACAAACTCGTAAGGTCGCACAGCAAGCCTCCAAATCCACAACTACCACTTAGGTGGGTCCATTTGATGCAACCGCGTACACGTGTACATTTGATGTTACCAAGTTCTCATATTAACCCAGCCGACATTTATTTGCTACTCACGAGTCACAATGTTTATCGTCTTAATAATTTCTTCATATTTATTTTTTTTTATTTACACTAAGAACACTTAACTATTAATAAATATTATTTTATCTCTTTAATTATGAATCCGTATAATTTAACATTTTTAATTATAAAAATATATTATTTTACCTTTGTAACCATTCTATTTATTTTTAAAAAAGTGTATTTATACAATTTTTTTAATGGAGAA